CCATCTGCTTAAATGCAGGAACTGAACTCTCTACAAAATATTAAAGTATATTTCTAAGAACCAGATGTAAAATTACATTTACGGGGCCTGGCCTCGATTTTGAAAGCCAAGGGATATATGTCCGCTATCTTAAATTTGATTGTGAAATTGATGATTAGATTTTGGCCATATTTATTGGTAGCTCTCCATAGACCAGCTGATCCGAGCGTTTCTTTGCAGACTGGACTTCATAGTGTATGCATCTTCCCACAGAAAATTCTTTGCAATCGAAAAATGGATGCAAGATTTTACATCTACAAGATATTTGCTTTTAACCCAAATTTGATTGCTTCTGACCTAATTTGAACAATACAGAAACACCCGCCCTTTCACATCATTCTCTCTTTTTGTTCTCACTTGTTCATGGAAAATTGGAAACTTAAGGCCCGGTCACACAGCCCTCCACGGGCGTATCGCGGCCGAATCACGGCCAAAAATTTCTGCCCGTGAAGCAGACGCTGTTGGACGCTTTGAGGTCGCGATAAAGACGCGATACAGCCGTACTTTACCCGTCGTTACACGCGGTTAGAAATTCACACGCGGTTGGCCGCGCGAAAAAGTTTTGGGCTGCCCAAAAATTTAGACCGCGGGTAATCGCGGGCGGTACACGTGGTACACACGCGGTACACACGCGGTAAAGACGCGGTACAGACGCGGAACGAACGTGCTAGGACGTGCTACGGCCGCGGTTAAGACGTGGTTACACGCGGAATTGGACGCGAAATTTTAGCGGGTAATCGCGGGTGGAGCACGGTCATAGCACGTTTGTTCCGCGTCTGTACCGCGTTGTTATCACGTGCATTAGCGTGTGTACCGCGTGTAAGCGTGGTAGGCCGCGGTACCGCCGCGCTTCACCCGCGATAAGGACGCGGAACAGTCGCCGGCGTCTGTTCCGCGGGCATACCACGGGTAAACCGCGGGTAAGCCAATTTTGCACATTTTCCACCACGGGCAACCGCGGGCAAAAAAAAAATCGCGAAATTTTACCCGCGATACAGACGCGAAAGGCTGTGTGACCGGGCCTTTATAAATAGGAGCTTGCCACAAAAAGCATACATAAACAAATAATATGGCCAGAAGATAGGCGCTATCTAAACTACATCTAAACTACTACTATAGTAAACTACAATGAAATTCATATGATACACCTATTGCAGTTACAAAATAATTCTTTTAATGAAAAAAAATGAGAGTACCGGTATGTGGTATGTCAAATCCAAGAGGTAAATATAATCAAAATTAAGTAAAAACGTAATTGCAAATTGAAAGGTAGTGACACAGCACAAATGTCGCACTGACGTGAGAGGGGTAAATGCTCCTTAGAACGGCAAATAAGGGTTGACAGTAAGATGCAACAAGGGCACTTAAGGCTTGTTAAAAAATGGTGAGGTAAACCCGCCAGTATTTTTGGTATGTGTAAATAAATTGCAACAAAGGATTTGCGTCCGTGTGCATTCACTGAGCTCTGTGTTTTAAAATACAAAATTGTGAAGCGTTTATGTCATCATACTACATCACATCATTTACAATAAAAGCGAGCATACATTCCAAATGGTAAGGTCTTCATTTGCTCAATATAAAGCTAAGAAACAATCACTTTCAAAATGAAATTGTGAAGCCATTAAGCAGTCACGAATCAAAGAAAAGAGCTTTGGAAATTTCTTATTTGTTTACACAATTACTTGACTAAACATTGGATAACCAATAGTAATGGCCTTTGTCATATCCCAGAGTCCTCATAATAATCAATGTCCTTCAGCCATTAGCCACGTATCTCTCTAATGCACAGCTTATATCAATTTACATTTGTTCATCAACCAATATTACTAAATGCAGTAAAATATTTCTTTGCAGGAAGCATTAACAATGTGTGTGTTTAGCTCTGAAAAACCACCCCCGCAAGTCTTTATCTCAAAATCAGTTTCGAATTACCTTTAGAAAGGGAAAAGGTCATTTGATTTGAATACAATTTATTCTGCCATATCAGAGAGAATATGCATCACTGTACATACATGTATGGTCTGTTTGGAGCCAGAAGGACGCTAATTCATATACTTTAACACAGAGTTAATGCACTTCTGGCTCTTAACAGAATGGTTTTTTAATGAATTTGGATCTACATGTTCATGCATGTTCATTGCTTGACTGTGGTACACAATGCAACTTCAAGACAAATAAAATCATGCATTTTCTTGAAAACTGGCAGCCATGTAAGCAAAATACTCTCCTTTAAGGATGGATCTAAATGAATAAAAGAACTTGATAACAGCAAGGCACTTAGTTCCATGAATATTTCAAGCCAAAGATAATGGTAGAACCAGTGGCGTAGCTACAGGGGGCAATGAAAAGGAGGAAATAGAAAATGAGAATAAAAGACAGGAAAGAAAAGGAGAGAGGAAATGGGACCATGAAAAGAAGATGGTTCCTCCCCCCCCCCCTCCTCCTAAACAATGGCCAAGTTTATTTATAGAGTAGACCCCCCCCCCCCCCCCTCATAATGCTGGAGCTCCTGCAATGTCTAAACTCACTCTAAACCAGTGGATGGGAGTCACAACTGGTAACCAGTTTTACTTCACCTACTTCATCATGTCATATATCAAGAATAGAATGTTACACAGCTCATTAAATCAGACTTTGGCTTGGCAAATCTCATCCATCTAATTAAGGCCTATTTGTCTTTGCCAGACAGCAAAACATGCATACATATCGTCGATGTTTTCACGAAGTGACGGTAGTGAAAAAAAATTGCATTCACTTTGCGTGACGATTTTCCTCACTACCGTCACTTCGTGAAAACAAGGACGATATATGTAAAGGGTTGTTGACGATATCTTGGGAATACTCAAAGCAGACGAGACATAATTCTGTAGGCAGGTTAGCACCATGTCCTGACATTAATGTTAAAGAGACCCATTGTCTGTCTTTCTACTCTAATCAAATCAATGCTTCAGGAGCTTCAATTTCATTAAAGATAAAGACTAGTTTTGGAAACGTCCCCTCTCAAAAAATGAAATGGAAGCTCTTATTACCAATCATGTGAAAGAATATGTTTTGACTAAAACGTGATCATACAAATTTTGCCGAGAAACCGCCTACTAATTGATATATGTGGTAAATTATTATATCTATTTGGACTTGATAGATATAACGCACGTGTGGGGGTAGTCCCATATAAATTTTTCTGTGTACGGTGCTTGTAACTTTATCAAGACTGGGCCAAATTTCTTATCACTTTGATGATTCCAGAACCTTGCAGTACACACCAATAGTAATATGCTAGATGATCAATCTTTTTTGATCGATTCCACAACTTTTCTTTCACAATGCAATCACATGACCATAACTGGTCCTTGTCTTTAAAGATAAAGTTGAATTCTGGGCATACAATAAGATAGTGAAAGAAAAATGTCTGGAAGCAATGTGGAAAGGTTGATTAAGCAGCCTAAGAATTGGAGCATACTTTGAGGTTTCAGAATCATCAAATTCATAAGAAATTGACTTAATCCTGATGAACAGCACATACACTAACACAGAAATGTGTATAAGGGACTACACTCACATATGGCATAAAAGTTTGGCCCAAACTTTCAGCTACATGAATTTCTTGTCACATTTTGACTACGAGGGCATATGAAGAGAAATCCTTTTCAGGGGAAATTTCTTTTACAATATTCTTCCTTACTAGCATAAAAATAATGAAAAAGGTCACAAATTCTCTCCCACCTTTACCATAACTCCACCTTCTCTTTAAGCAAACCTATATAGTCTGGCTGCTCTAATCAAATCAATGCTTCGGGAGGATCGATTTCTTTAACAGAGTGCTCTTTCATCGTCAAATCATTAGAGAATTCTCCTTCCTAGACGTGCTTATTTTGTCTTCTCAAAACAAAACAGAAGGAATAAATCAAATAGTGCTTCCAAAAATAGGTATATTGAAAGATGAAAACTAGGATGGTGGTCATGGTTATTATAAATTCATGTGATACCCAATCTTGGTTTCTTTGCTTATCTTTTAAAAATGTTTTCAAGGTAGATTTAATGTCATCATTTATTAAAAGAAAGCGAGGCATTAACTTTGTGAAAAAGTGTCTGAGTCAACAATCTTTAGGCTCTCAGCAGACGATATAAAAAGGAGCAGTCAATAAAAGCTCATTTTGAGTTTCTGGCGATGTAACTGCATTTCAAGAAGCTGAAATAACTATCCACGAGACATTCAGTATGAGACTGCACGCCTACATGATTCTTGGCTCTGTACAGGCATTGTGTGGTAAAGTGATATGTACAATGTAAATTCTATGCAGTGGTCAGCATCCTCAGCCAGATACCTATATTCAATTTCACACTGAGAGTCACATTTCCATCTCAACAGGTTTTTTTACAGCAATTAAAGCAGCACGAAAGAGCTTTTAATATTAAAAGCTAACAAATATTCTCTCATTCATCCCTTAGAATATCATATTACACCTCAAAAGCAGCCCACTTTCCATACACTCAGAACAAACATGTGTTTCAAGAGAACATGAACATAATCAACAGCTAGTTAAAGCTACAAAATGCTCCCCAACACATCTACATTAGATATGAAAGTATCATTTTTTACAATTCCTTATTGCAGGATTCAGCACTTCAAATAAGCGGTTTTCTTGGTCTAAATGACCATCAAGAATCCTGTCCTGCAACCTGCAAGTCATGCCTATGAGAGCCAGGTGGCAACTTTACTATCCATTACAAATAACAAAACAAAGTAGAATTTGGCCATCTAGCAAATATTGCATATGCGTAGCCAGGCTTGCAAAAGTGTTAGGAGGAGAGCTCCAAGGTTATAATCATATATCATCTGCTAAATGCCAAAAGGTTACTAACTTGAATCATTTAACACAGAGTTATCTCCCTTCTGGCTCTTAATACATGATACATATAACCTTACGATGAAGTTTGTAAATAATTATCAAGTCACTTACATGTCATTCCCATGGGTTTTCTCTTCGGATGCATGCTTCAGATTCAGCTGACTGTAAAATGATAAAATCAAAAAAGATGTTTCAAACCAAGATAAAAACACTTATTAGTCTTGAATGTAAATACTTATACTCTAATCGGAAAAAACAATGTGGGAATGGTAACATATTACCTTTTGTGATGTTGTATTGAAGCTAATAATAACACAATCTTAGATTGTTAGTTGAATTATGTACAACATGATCAAAAGTACAGTACTTGTATCCTTTTTTACTTTATCATCACTTTGACTTGTTGCTTATTGTAATATCCTGGTAATGTTTAATTGTTTAACATAGCGTTTTCATTGTATTATGTAATGCAAGCCCTTCTCTTAAATTAGTTTTTCAATATACCGGTACTGAAGAGATTACCTTCTATAGAGTTTGCTTTAAAAATATAAAAGTTTCCATAATTCGAATATGACAGATACATGTCGAATGACTTCAGTATGAAAAATACTCCAACATTCCTCCTCAAACTAATTCTTCATCCACCCCACCAAAAATAGGTCAAATAAACATATCCCGGTACAGTCCTGCATATTGATCTGTAATCACATCCCTTTACCCGGCTTGCTGGTTGTTTTTCAGAGAACCCAATTGATTATATGGACCATATTGACATTCAAATCAGGAAAACTTAGCTCACCCAGAAATAGGATCTTGAGCTCAACATTTTTGCAGGAAAGGGAGGAGATTAGGACATGGGAGAGAAATTCCAGACTAAAAAGGATTTAAACTCCTCTTCTCTTTGTCCTTCCCTCTCTCCCTCCCTCCCTCTTCAGAGTAATGCTAACCCTCTAACTCAAAGGCCATTAATGAACAATGTTAAGAGGATTTGCTCCAACACAATCTAAAAGTTTGAAATAGGTTTGTTCCTAATAAGTATTTGTCATAACAACTGTCACTAAGATGTAGACAGTGCTTATAAAGGTTGTTGGAGATTAGCAATTTCCCAATGGAACTATGGGGGATTATCATACAGCTTATTACAGATTATCAAAACTTTAAGATTACTGTAAGCTTATTTTATTTAACACGGTTTATACACGCAACATTACTTTCAGATGTCAAAAATAATCTCTACATCGACACGATTTACCTCAAATGCTTATATATCTATAGTACTGTTTCCAATAGGACCATGATCACTCTACATGTCTAGTTATTATGGTATATTATGTGCAAGCGAGAAATAGTAAGATATCATTGGTGACTTTTATCTGAAAAGACTCAAAAGAGGGTTTTTCTGTCGAGGTACCGTTTAGAACCATCCATTCCATTGCTAATGAATCACGTTAGTTTATGAATCCTCAAAAATAAATTGACCTACTAGCACAACTTTTTTAAATTACCAAAAATTAATAAATTCATAATGCCCACAGAGATTGGTCTCTACTTTTTTTTCTTCTTTAATTGTTAAAAATTTCAAATGCGAGAAGCAGCTAACCATAATTCTCCCACTGTTTGACATTTCCAAACGATTACCGCCCAGTCACGAAGAAATAATGCCACCTTGGGCAGGGGGGGGGGGGGGATATGAACATTCGAAATACGCTGTTAACCGTGCAAGTGTTAGCTACTTCAAATGTCAGTTTGAAGGGGATTGTTTTGAATTTTAGTGGATCCTGTGAAAGGGTATATTCTAATGGTGTAAGCTGATACCAACCTTTGAGACTTCTCGGCTTCCAGAGATGCTAGTTGGCGGGAAGGCCCATGGAAAACACTGTTCTTCTTTACTCCTCCCCCGTTAATGACTCTTACATTCTGGAAAGATCAAAGAAAAAAATGAGAAAAAAAGATTTAAAACTAAATGTAATAAACATTCAAACATCGATGCTTAAATAGGGACAAGGACAAGGTTCATCAAAGCATCAAACCATGATATCATTATAAATACCTCTTTCATCACAATTAAAATTAAAAAAATTCTGTTACACATTATATTTAGTTAAAGGATCATATCATATTATACATTTATCAAGCTAACAGACTCATTCTTTATAAGCAGATTCATAAATTCACTGTTATATCAACATCTTATACAGGTTAATTCAGAAAAATACCACTACATTAGGCATTTCTATAAAAGCATACACTTATAAATCTGTCAATTACATTTTTAAATATTAATAATAATAATAAAGAAATCAGAAAATGTTGTTGGTAATGATAAACATGAGTGTTGCAAAGCAATGAATGAAAACATCTCAGTGTACATCTGGTAGTCATGTCTTCTACCCCCATGGATTCCCATCTAACATCTTTTTAAAGACAGAAATGCTGATATTGTCAGAAAAAGGCAATTTTTCAACTTCCTAAGCTGATTAAGCTTGAGAAGGTAAAAATAATGGTGTCAGTAGGCCTGTCCTCATCAGCTCAAGTTTGCCAAATAACCCGCTATTTTAAGTATCCCGATCGCAAATTAGCCAGTTAATTTGCAACTTCATCAGCCCACAGATGCAAATATCCTGAGAAACATCGTCTTGTTTCCCAAATATCCCACTATTTGGGAAATAGGGGGTTAATTTGCGCCCGCCGAGCTAATTTGTGATGAGCGTAGCGGTCTGGTGAAGGCGCAATTTTGAGCTTAGGGACAATATCCCAAGTCTGAAAATAGCAGGTTATTTGGTAAACTTGAGCTGATGAAGACAGGCCTTATGATATTGGGTGGTAGTGAAAGACACTTTTAATGCCATGATCTTGACCTTGCAACAAAGATTTTAAAAACCCCAGGGGAACATAGTCCTTTATTGCAAAAAGTGTCAGAACCGCACAACAAATTTTGAAGTCATTACTAACTGAAAGGCAAGAGGGAAGGAGGAGGGAGAAGAGGTGAGGACAAGGGGCAAGGAGGAAGGAGGGGGCCCGGTAAAGCACTTTCTTGTGTATTAACATCAACAATTTTCGTATACCTTATGGTAAGGTTCTTTTCCCCCAAAATGAAATAGTGTTCAACTTAATGAATACTACAATTTGGTACATGTACTTAGATGAGGAAAGATTGAAAATTCACCCGAACTTGTCAGCATGTCATCTGCTTTAACATTGTTCCTAAAGCTATACAATGTTACTTCTCAACAAAATAGTAGAAGTATATGAACAAATAATATTATGATATCCTAGTCCTTGCCCTTGCCATAACCGTTGCCTTAAATTGATACTCATATCATCACGAGAATACAGATGCTCACTCTACCTTGGCACAAATCATATTAGTCAAAGATGCTACCTCGGTGGAATCTCTTGGAAGATATAAATAAGATTATCTGATTGATTTGTATCTCTTGGCCGCAGGTTTCATTCTGATGATGAGCTTCAGATGTCTCTTGGAAGAAAAATATGATACGTCCTTCAACTTCAACCATCTCATCTGGAAATTATCTGAAATATTTTGTACTCCACCAATTCCTTGACATTTTTGCCCTCTTTTCCCCGTACATTGTCATTGTTTCTATTTATTTATTTTATTTTTTTCTCTCAACTTTTAGAGGTTGAGTTGTTGAGTATATATCTAAATGTCATTTTTGCTGTTGGTATATCTACATGTGTCATTCAGATATTACAATATGTTGTTTTTCTCTATCATTCCCTTATTCCCTTCCTCTCTGTTAGTCTGTTATAGTGTGCAAAAGCCTGGCAGAACAATTTTGAGCACAGATGATGGACACAAAAGAAGAAAAGTCTGTTTATATTTTCTCTTTCTTTCTCTCTCTCTCTCTCTCTCTCTCTCTCTCTCTCTCTTTCTCTATCTTCACACACACATTTTCTGTGTCTCTTCTATTTGTCTCTTTCTTTCCATCTCTATATTTTTCTCTTCCTCTTTTTAACTCCCCCCCCCCCCCTCTCTCTCTCTCTCTCTCTCTCTCTTCCATCACATATATATTTATCAATGTTTATCCCTTTTCCCACTCCACATAGATGCATTTTCCCTGGACTTATTCTCTTTCTCTGCACAGTACCTTACAAGTCACCAGTATAATATAAGATGTCCCCACCCACCTCATTTTATCCCTATCAAATCCCTCAAAGTCTTGTAATCTCCTGGTCGGATTTGAAATCACTTGCTCAAATTCCAAGATCAAAATATTTCCATAAATAGCCATTTAGATTCATGAAAAAATGGAATCTGGAAGGATAGAGCTTAACTGCCTCCTCATGTTGATTTGTTTTCCTCTAAAGTTTGTTAATATGTATTTCACTCTTTATTCCTTATAGTTTCTTCATTTTGTTAAAATTGTCTCTTTTTATTTTAAAAAGGATGCTGATAAAGTGCAGTATCACATAGATATTGACATGAATACATCTCAAAAACATGTGAAGTATTTTTACACTAGATTCACATTGTTGGTGAAATGTGCAGAACATAGCACAAAATGCCAAATTTCTTTCCAAGAAAAGCATGAAATGAAAACAAACACCTCGTTCATAATTAATGACCTCAATCTATATATAGACATACAACTCCAAACACAGTTAGGCTCATCACAAAACAGGTTGCTGACAAGAATGAACTTGTTATCTCTTAAACTGCATCCAATAATCGATAGGGCATGAGAAGAAAAGAATTGAAGAAGGACGCTGAATATTGGTGAATGGGTACACAATCTTTAATAGAATAACCAACACCTCCTCATAGTAGTGGCTCCTTACACCACTTAAGCATTGTTCAACAAGAAATTGATTTAATTCACAAGTGATTATAAGTGTTAGGAGCAAAGAATAGAATTGAATAGGGAAAAACACAAAGAACGGAAGCTTCCTCTTTAGCACTTTCTGCCCTTCTCTAGATTACCTCCCCATCCCCCCCCCCCCTCTCTCCATCTCTCTCTCTCTCTCTGTTCATCCCTCCCTCTCTTTTCCTCAACCTTTTTCTTCTCTTCCCTCTCTCTCTCTCTTTCTCTCTCCCTCTCTCTCTCTCTCTCTCTCTGCCCTTATCAGTTCTTTAATCCTATTAGCTGACCGTTGCCAAGGGAATATAAAGCATGTACTTTAAAAAGCAATCGTGATCTCATAGGAACGATAGAAAACAAGATAATTCCACTTAACGGTAAATGGCTAATAAAAATCTTCAATGGCAAAATTGGCAATGTAGATTTTTTTTTTTCCACAGATGGGACCATTTCATTTGAAATACATGTATTGTAAATGTACGTATTGAAATGCTAAACCACTATTTAAAACTGCAAGGAAAACATGAGAACATAGAAACAAGTACCGTTTCTGATTGTCATATATTTTTGCGTAATTTGATTTACTAAGTATATATTCAAAACTGAATAGAAGAATAGATATCTGTATGATGCTCAAACATTTTGACAATCACTATTTACAATGATGTATTCTCTGAAACTAATTACATTGTACCATTTAGTTGAATTGCAATTATGTAAATCAAAAGAAAATTAAAAAGAAAGGAAATTTCATCATTATCTACTGCAGATGACCAGGAAAAACATAAATGGGGTTTTCTCTTAGCACAAATGAATCCATGAAGACTCACATCTGAACTGTATTTGCTGCCATACTTACATGAAGAAAACCGAACATGAAATGACATTCTCCAATCGGAATCAGCACAGGCCATAAATTTGCCAGGCGCTGATTCACGTTTTGACATCTTTTTAATCTCCCTAGCAATCAGGGAGTCTGCTGCCCACAAATGGCTTGGAATTTATGAGGTGTTGAATCTGAGGCTGTTTACCATCAATTTAACATTGGCTAAATGCTGTCACCTTTCTTAGCTTCAGGAGATTTCCAGCACATGTGGCAGATAAATGTAGCGAAACGTGAATGTGCAATCATGGATCACAGCAGATGCCTCTGACACATGTAGTTGCTGACCAATTTGTATTTGTCAAAACACAACTCAGATAAGGTATTTGGTGTATAATTTAAAACTTTAGGTCAACAAAGCATTTATTATTTTTTCTTGGTTAAAGCAAAGCACAAATGTATGTCAAACTTTGCTAATTACCTAAAGTTGCAAATTGTCAAAGTTTACATTTGATCAGTATTTGTTAACTTTTGAGAGAAAAACTTATAATTTGTCCCGATGTTTCAAAGACCAAGAGTCTTTTAACTTAGACTTCCATTCAACAAAGAAGTTACCACAGCTTGCTGTGATCATTTCTTGATTCCAGTAATTAGAACCAGTCAACCGGTCAAAAAACAGAATGTTCATGAAGCCTTATTTCCGAAAGGCTAATTCGCAAGCTAAAAGGTTTCTGTCTTAAATGGATCTTTACCAGACCTAAAGATTCAACCATAATGACCTTCCTCGGGTTTGTGACGATTCAGTCTAGGGGAATTTCCTATGTAAAATATTCATAAAGTTTCAGTCATCTTGACTGTGCTCTACTTGATTTGTTTGGATGTATACAGCCTAAACTGGATCAAAGACTTACAAATTAGCCTAAAACCAGAGATTACACTATGAGAAATGTACATTTGGCCTCTGATACAGGGTGATCAGTCTAGGAGATTTTGAAAAAATACTGGACACACATCGGCAGTTCTAACAAGTATTTTAAAATATTCACTATCATATTGGACTTGCAGGTAGCAAGATATTTACGAGTATACCAAGTTTTGCCTATTGTATGCCTACATGTATGCATCAAAGTCAGGCAGGCCTATGCAAATCTTTTCCTCCTCAAAAATGCACTTGGGCCTACACAAAAAACCTCAATTTCGATGCATGGATGGCGCTTAACATCTCGATTCACTGGTCTCTGCGCAAACCATTACAGCGACACAAATCAAGG